GTTGGATGTTGAGGTAGACTGATACCCAATTTCCTGAGGAATTACCATACTGAATTCCAAAATAGCAATACACGTTTGCACTCCCACCAACAGTGAAGGATTGTGCCCTTTCTCCACACCCTTTCCAACATAAACAGTCTATAATGTTTTTGACCTTAGCCATTCTAGCAGGTGTAAGATGATACCTCAGAGTTGTTTTGATTTGCATTTCCCTGATGGCTAAGGATGTTAAGCACTTTCTTAAGTGTGTTTTAGCCATTTTAGATTCCTCTATTGAGAATTTTCTGTTTAGTTCTGTATCCCACTTTTTAAATTAATTATTTGATGTTTTGGTATATAGCTTCCTGAGTTCTTTGTATATTTTGGAAATTAGCCCTCTGTCAGATGTTGGGTTGATGAAGATCTTTTCCCATTCTGTGGGCTGCCTTGTTGTCTTGTTGACTGTGTCCTTGCCTTACAGAAGCTTTTCAATTTCAGGAGGTCCCATTTATTAGTTGTTTCTATGCTTCTGGCATTTTGTTAAGGAAGAGGTCTCCTGTACCAATTCATTCATGGGTACCTCCCACTTTCTCTTCTAAGAGGTTCAGTGTGGCTGGGTTTATGTTGAGGTCTTTGATCCATTTGGACTTGAGTTTAGTGAGTGGCATTAGACATGGGTCTATCTGCAGTCTTCTACACACCATCATCCTGTTGTGCCAGCACCATTTGTTGAAGATGCTTTCATTCTCCCATTGTATACTTTTAGTTGTTTTGTCAAAAAGCAGGTGTTCATAGGTATGTAGGTTAATATCAGGATTGTGGAATTGATTCCATTGGTCTACTTTTCTATTTTTGTGCCAATACCAGGCTGTTTTCAGGACTATAGTTCTGTAGTAGACCTTAAAGTCGTGGATGGTGATGCCTCCTGGAGTTCCTTTATCATACAGGGTTGTTTTGGCTATCCTGGGCCTTTTGTTTTTCCATATAAAGTTGAGTATTATCCTTTCAAGTTCGGTGAAGAATTGTGCTGGGATTTTGATGGGGATTGCACTGAATCTGTAGATTGCTTTTGGCAAGATTGCCATTTTTACTGTTTATCCTATCTATCCAAGAGCATGGGAGATCTTTCCATTTTCTGGTATCTTCTTTAATTTCTTTCTTTAAAGACACAAACTTATTGCTATATAGGTCTTTCACCTATATTGTTTGGATAGTGTTACCCCAAGATATTTTACGTTGTTTATGGCTACTTAAAGAGTGATGGTTCTCTGATTTCTTTCTCAGCCCCTTCATCATCTGTATATAGCAGGGCTACTGATTTTTTTTTTTTTAGTTAATCTTCTATCCTGCCACTTTGCTAAAGGTGTTTATCAGCTGTAGGTGTTCCCTGGTAGAGTTTTTTGGGTTACTTATGTAAACTATCATATCAGCAAATAGTGACAGTTTGACTTCTTCCTTTCCAATTTGTATCCCTTTGATCTCCTTTTGTTGTCTTATTGCTCTAGTTGAGCAATAAGAGATATGGAGTGGACAGTCTTGTCTTGTTCCTGATTTTAGAGGAATCACTATGAGTTTCTCTCCATTTAGTTTAATGTTAGCTGTTGGTTTGCTGTACATTGTTTTATTATGTTTTGTTATGTTCCTGTTATCCCTGGTCTCTCCAAGACCTGTATCATGTAGGGGTGTTGGATTTTGTCAAAGGCTTTTTAAGCAACTAGTGAGATGATCATGTGGTTTTTCTTTTTTAGTTTGTTTATGTAGTGGATTACATTGATGGATTTTCATATGCTGAACCATCCCTGCATCCCTGGGATGAAATCTACTTGGTCATGGTGGATGATTCCTCTGATGTTTTCTTGAATTCGATTTGCCAGTATTTTATTGAGTATTTTTGCATCAATGTTCATGGGGAATATTGGTCTGTGTTCTCTTTCTTAGTTGTGTCTTTGTGTGGCTTGGGTACCAAGGTAATTGTAACCTCATAAAATGAGTTTGGCAATGAACCTTCTGATTCTATTGTGTGAAACACTTTGAGGAGTATTGATATTAGCTTTTCTTTGAATTTCTGGTAGAATTCTGCACTAAAACCATCTGGCCCTTGGCTTTTTTTTTTTTTTTTTTTTTTTGGGAGGCTTTTGATGACTGCTTCTATTTCATTGGGGGTTATAGGTCTATTTAAGTTGTTTATTTGCTCTTGGTTTAATTTTAGTAAGTGTTAGCTATCCAGAAAATTGTCCATTTCCATTAAATTTTCAAATTTTGTAGAGTATAGGTTTTCAAAGTATGACCTGTAGACTCTCTAGATTTCCTCAGTATCTGTTGTTATTTCCCCCTTTTCATTTCTGACTTGGTTAATTTGCATGTTTTCTCTCTGTCTTTTGGTTAGTTTGGATAAAGATTTGTCTGTCTTTATTTTCTCAAAGAACCAACTCTTTGTTACATTGACTCTTTGCATTGTTTTCCTAGTTTCTACCTTATTGATTTCAGCCCTCAAGTTGATCATTTCCTAGCATCTACTCCTCCTGGGTGAGTTTGCTTCTTTTTGTTCTAGAGCTTTCAGTTGTCCTGTTAATCCTCTAGTGTGACTATTGTCCAGTTTCTTCATGTGGACACTTAGTGCTATGAACTTTCCTCTTAGTACTGATTTCAAATATCCCATAGGTTAGGGGTATGTTGTGCCTTCATTCTCATTGAGTTCTAGGAAGTCTTTGATTTCTTTCTTTATTTCTTCCTTGACCCAGGAATGGTGCAATTGTACCTTATTCAATATCCAGGAGTTTGTAGGGTTTCTGCAATTTATGTTGTTGTTGAATTCTAACTTTAGAGCATGGTGGGTGCAAACAGGTCTAATACTCCAATAGCTCTCCTCTTCCAGTGGATGGTGGCAGGAGTTGTGATGTAAAATTAGTAACCCCTTCTGTGGGTAGATGTGAGACTAGGACAAAGGCAGACTCCAGATGGGCTAGTCCACAGGGACGGGCTCCCTTGTGAGTGAAGTTCCCAGGCCTCAGGAGGCTCCAAACAGGGCCCCGGAAAGATTATTTTAACATGATATAGAACAACACCATTTATTTATGGAAAGTATCCAGAATGGATAAAGAATACTTTTTGACAACATCAAGAAAGGAAATTCACTACAAAATACAGGTCTGCCGAGATAACTCAATTCCTAAAGTATTTCATGTGCAAGAAGGAAAACATGGGTTTGATCCTGCATTAAGTAAAATTTTTAAAAATTAAATAAAAGGCAGGCATGGTGGCATACCCTGGTAATCCCAGTAATGAAGAAGGGTATACAGGAAGGTCCTTGGAATTCCTTGACCAGCCAGCTGACCCTAATTAGTGAGCCCTACATCCAGTGAGATACCCTGTTGAAAAGAAACAAATAAGGTAGATGGTGCCTGGGGAGGCATGACACCTGGGATTGTCCTCTGGCCAGCACACACTCACATCATGAACTAAAGAGACACCAGATACTAGATGCAAATTCTAGTCAACTTCTATTTTCTAAATTTCTCTTGTGTAGCCTTCAGCTTAATTATTCAGCAACCTTAAGTCATTATCTCATAATGGCTTCCATCTCTAGTTATATTTGAGTTACATATTTTATGAGAAAGTAATAAAGCCTCCTTAGAGAATATGGCTCTACACTAGAGCCAAGCTGCTGCCTGTGGAGATGTCATGAGCCAACACAACCATCAAGGTAAGTATCTAAATAGAGTTAAATCATTCAGAGTTTGTCCCTGGACCTCCAAGTAAGGTCATTTCCACCAAAATCTGAATGTGGCTATCAATTCAGGATGTAGGGAACACTACTGAGGAAATCACAGTGTCCTGGTCACTGTTAATATGTTCTGATAAGGATTGCTTGAAGACATATTCAAATAAAAGGAAGTAGATTATCTGTAACGTAATAGAAGTACAATTAATGGCAAATGGCCACAGGTGTCAGTAGGTAACACAACCCGAATTTGAACCATAGATCTGTCCAATTTGTCCTTGCTTTTCACGTCTCTACTTTAGGTTCCCAAGATCCTTTGAAGAAGAAAAGCCACTGATCCAAACCACCATTGTTCTGGGTCATGTGACAGCCCAGAAGCTGATGGAAATAGAATTTGAAGCTTCAAGTACAGTGAAGTATAAATTAATCACAACTTGTTTGTTTTTGCTTTTGTTTTACTTGCTAGATTGAATACTAATGTCAGCCAAACTTAAGACCATTTTTTTTCTGTGCTAAAAATTTGGCTCATTCTTTTTCCCATGAGGTGGCAGCAATTTGGATTTATCGAAAATCTACACAATAGTGATTACAGCTGGATGTGGTGGCTCATGACTATAATCTCAACACTTGGAAGGAGAACTGTGAGTATACAATATCAAATTGAGTATGCTTGTATGTGCCTCTAATCTTGAAACTTAGGAGATGAAGATAGGAAAATCAGTAGTTCAAAGCCAGACTTGGCTACATAGGTTGTTGGAAGCCAACCCTACAGAACATGAGACACAGTATTAGAAAGAAAGGAAGGAAGAAAGAAAGGAAGTAAGGAAGGAAGGAAGGAAGAGAAAGGGGAGGGCAGGGAGAGAGGGGAGGAGGGAGAAAGGGAGAGAGAGGGAGGGAGGAAATTAAGTAAATTAAGGAATTTCATTCTTAAGCCTCAAAAAGCAATAAAGTAGAAGAAGAAGGAGAAGAGAGAGAGAGAGAGAGAGAGAGAGAGAGAGAGAGAGAGAGAGATTCAGTTTCTGGGAACAGCTTTGTAAGGAGGACCATATAAGTTGCCAATCCAAAAATGTCTAAGGAAATATATTTATTCATCCAGATCTAGAACATACTAGTGGATTTACAGTTGTGTCACAAAGTTACTAGTACAAGATTTATTCAATTTTGATGTAGGCACTTACTGTAATTAATGTACATTTTAGAATGGAAACGGGGATGGGAGAAAGCATTAGAGAAGGTGCCCAGCTTTATCATGGATTGCATTTCATCTCCTCATGCTCTTCTGAGTTCTCAAGTGAAGTTCTCACTCTGTGGTGACTTGAGGCTGGCTGTCTGGGTTCTCAGAATCGCTTCCACCAGGGGTTATTATTCCTGATTCTGTAGACTTAGGAGGTAAAGAAATTGCCTAGAAAGTGAGACATCAGTTCTCAAGAAGAGGATCGCCACCTCCCCCTCTCCACTCCATCCTTTCTTATTGCCACCTTGATCACTGTGGATCACATATCCACAGATTTTGCTTCACTGATCATTTTCCTGCTAAACACTGAATAATGATTATATGCCTATGGATCAGGAGGCAATCAAAACACTTTTATTTCCATTTCTATAGCTTGCTGATACATATGTGGTTTCCAGAACTGAATGTGGAGATTGTGCAGGAGAATGTCAATAAAAATCAAATGCATAGTAGTGTAATTATAGAAAACAAATACCTGTTGTTGGGAACCAGCAGTCTGCTGACCCCACCCCCTCATGATGGACGGGATGCTCATGGCCATGTCTTCTCACATCATGACTTACCTGCTCAAGCTTTACCTGGCTGCCAGGGGACTCAGTTACTTATGTGCAAGTTTCCTTTTTAAAGCAAGCTCACCAAGTGCACCTCCCTCTCTCTATCTCTATCTCTCTCCCTCTCTCTCTTGCTCTTTCTCTCTTGCGCTCTCTCTCTCTCCCCCCTGCTTTCGGTTGGTCACCAGCTATCCCCTTCCTCTCCCCTCTATCAATAAACTCCACATGGGCGTTCAGTCTCATGTTTGTTTTTCTTGGGCAATAATTATAGCAAAAGAACAACACCTGTAATATTTGTCTACTATTCTTCCTTACCATGTAAACATCTAATTAGCATAACTTTGGTTGTTTTATGTTAGAGTGTTTGATTTTAAAAATTGCTCTTTGGATTTCTGACTTGTTTCATAAAACATTGGTGAATGAATTTTGATGTGAAGGATTAGAATATAATTTCCAGCAGTTTTCAAAATGGCTATAAACATATTAAACATATTTTATCACTTTTACTATATGTTAATGCAAAGCACATTCTTAGCCTTAACAATAATAAAAATCAGAATATTAATCAACTCTCAGAAACAAGATGATCTTAATCCTGCAGCACCCAATATGTAGCCAAAATTTAATTATTATGGAAAAATAAACAATCACATTCATTTCATTAACATGCAACCTTGCTATGATCTTTAATGTAGTAAAATGACATATCAACTAATTGTTTTAAATAAATATCTTTAAATATTAATTTATTATCTGTAAATATTTCAACTGAATACCTATTTTGTATACCTAACTACATAGGACTGTGTAAAGCCTTCTTGGGCAAAAAGAAATTGAAAATGGAAAATTTTAAGAAACCAAATTAGAGATCTAAATATATAGCAAGAACATGTTGTCATCCTGAGTCATGCTCAAAAGTAAAAACTTACAAGAAAATAATTAAAAATAGTTTAACTGCATTAAAATGTAAATTAATATATAGTTCACATTTTCAAATCTGAATCATTTACAGCCTTGCTTCATTTCATACTTTGAGCTAATAAATAATTCCCAGATCCACACAAATCATAATCATATAAAAGTTTCTACTAAAAGTCAGATATAACTTCATACATTATGGAACTTGCAGATGACAGAACTTGCCCATCACTTACACAAACTCACCTCTCTCGAACCACAAAAATTTCCAAGACACCACATGACAGAGACTGAAATGGTCACAGCCAGTTCCAGCAGGGTAAGGATCAGCATTAGAGACACCAGGCCCTATAGAAAAGATGCCTCACATCAAATCAGTGGAAACATTCAGAGGTAAAACTGTTCACAGGAAACCAGACTGCAAAACCCTCAGAGGGGAACAGAGTGAGACGCAAGTTAGACAGAAGAAGGGATCCAGTATTGATGCAAAATCATGACAATATTGTCCCGGGAGAAAGATACATGTTATTGCTAGATTGACCTATGTGAACTAGTCAAGGGGAGAAGAAATCATAGAAGAAAAATTCTGACACTATCACTAACGCTTATAAATATAATAATTTGCCAAAATTAATACACAGTTTAGTGAAATGAACAAAAAAAATGACTCCTCCATGATTCCACCAACAGGATATAAGAGGGAAGGGGTAGGCATTTACATTAGGCCAAAGACAAAAATACAATTCTGGGAGAACCATAACACATTACTGCAGAAAATTCCATTCCATTATTGCTGAGCACCTAGAAGAAATACATAATCAAATTTCAACAGAGGGGAAAATGTCTATGGAGGGAAAATGCCACTTAATCTGGAAAAATAGACACAGATAAGTATAAATTTACATGATTAAAAATATAATAAAGGAAAGACTAGAGAGACAGCTCAGCAGTTAAGGGCACCAAAATGGCTTGTCACAACCATCTGTAACTCCATTTCCAGGAGATCTAATACCCTCTTCTGACTTCCTCAAGAATCAGGCATACACATAGTGCACATACATACATAATGCAGGGAACATAAACAAAATAGTCATACAGGCATACACAATCTAGCTCATATGTGTGTGTGTGTGTGTGTGTGTGTGCGTGCGCGCGCACGTGTGCATGCATGTGTGTAGCCCCCCTTGATAGAGTGTGAACCTAATATGCACAAACATTCCAGACTGCAGAAAAAGTTGTATGTCTCTGAAGTTCATTTCATCAAACAAAGGTATGTGAAATAAATTGTTTAATGTATTCTCTCTGGAGAGCATAATAAATAGTAGTAATAATAATACAACATGATATCTAAGCATTGTTTCTCTACTTTGCAAATATTAACCAATTCATTAGCTAGGTGCTATCCATTATTATCTTCTTTTCAAAAATAAGAAAATTAAAATATTCATACACTCAGGAGGCAGAGGAAGGCAGATCCATGTGAGTTCAAGACTAGCCTGGTCTACAAAGCTACACAGAGAACAAAAAATAATTAAAATATAGACTGTCTAATGTGCCCTTCATTACAAAACTAATAAAGAGCAAAGCCGACATTCATGTTAACATAGTATACAAGATACTGTTTTTCTGAGTATTTTGAATGCTTTGAAATATGTTATTAACAAATTTTAAAAACATACATTTGATAAGGAACCCAGGTAAACGCATAAGTCATGTGGCTGTGAAGACTGGCAACTCTTGAACTTCTGGGTATTGAGTGCCAAATGTGCAGAGAGGACAGCAGTCCCAACAAATGCAATCATTGCGCTGGCAAAGTTCATCCCAAAACTGTTTTGCATCTAAAACAAAAAAGTCCATTAATGTACATAGAATATCGTTTAACACCTTGGTAACATTCCATTTAAAGAAGTATCTATTTACACACCCATCAGCATTCTAACTGCAGCCCGAGCTCCCATGAACAAAGATTCCCGGTGGTACAATTTAGCAATAAAGTCAATGAAGAGGTTAGGGTACACAGCTCAGTTGGTAGAATGCTTGCCTAAGATGTATGAAGTCCCAGGATCAATCTTTACTAGTTCATCAACTGGCTGTCATTGAAGATGCCTATAATTCAAACTCTCTGTAAGTGATAGCAGAGATTAAAATCCAAAGCTACCCTATAACATATGAGGCCCTATCTCATACTCTTAAAACACCAAAGAAAATAATAAACACTAACATATAAATTATGCCACATTTTTAAGTAATTAAGTATTGAGGCTAATAGAATGGTATAACAATGGAAATCTAGTGAGAGGAGTGGAGGTGACAGTAAGTACTAATAACATATGGAGACAGGAATAAATAATTGAGCACTTCCCAAGATGGCCCAGAGGAAGTCTGGGTAAAGAAGACAGTTTAAAGTTCCTGAGGCCACAGAGTCCCCAGGAAGCAAGGGAGCCAAAGTGGATAAGATTAGGAAACTAAGTCAGAATTAACAGAGACATATATTATATAAAGCCCTGTAGTTCAGGGGAACAGCCCTGTCTGGGTCACTCCTGCCCAACGGACAGTCTGGGGACTTTCCCAAGTCATTCTATGGTTTATCCTTTGAATAAGAACAAGTCATACCTCGGTGATCTCTCAAACATGAGATCATACTTTGTAATCAATTACCTTGTGCCCTATGCATGTATGCTGATTGTGGTTTTTCTCTATAAAAAGAGCCTAAACCCTTTTGGGGATGTGCAGCTTTCCCCAAGATCGCTGTCACCCAAGTGCACTCGTTCAATAAACACCTCTTGCTTGTTGCATCTCCTGATTTTGGTGTTTGTGTCATGGGGCTCTCCCACTGGCCCATCAGGGCCCCAGAATTAGGGTCTAAAAGCATAAGCCTTCAATCCCAGCACTTTAGGCAGAGGTAGGCAGATCTCTGTGAGTTCAAGGCTAACCTGGTCTACAGAGTGAGTTCCAGTACAGCCAGGGCTACACAGAGAAACCCTGTCTTGAGAAACAAGCGAATGAATGAATGAATGAATAGAATTTTTGCTTTCAGTTTTGAAGTTAGTAATAAAAAACCATTCACTAAAAATAATTTGCTAAGCCTGACAACACAAACATTAAGAAGCTTGCTTTGAAGCTTCAGACTCACTAGCTATTCAGAATAATAATCCCAGACATTCACAATTAATTAGATTTTCTGGATTATGTACCACTGGATGCTTGAAGGGATTAAATGAGACTTGGTTCCTCAGCTGGATTCACCATCCTCTGCTTCTCTGCCATTGGTGGGTAATTTATTTCTTCTCCTTTGGTCATCTAGACAAAGAAGGAGAATTGACACTTACCAGCATTCTTGTGGGTTTTCTCCCTGCTGCCACAGTCAAGGATCCTGAGCTGATAAACTTTTAAAGTAGGAAATAAGACAGATAAAGGTATATTTAGTCTTTACCACTTTCTCCTCAGCATTCCCTTGACAATAGGTTTCTAACAGAAATTACACAAATTCACACAAAGTGTATTTCACACTACTCGGTGTTTTATATGACTGAAATTTTTACATAGTTCATATTCTAAGTAAATGCATCACAATTTCATTTTGTTTATGTCTAGCTTTTAACATGTTTATATGGATATGAATAATGAATATCATAGTTATTCTCATGCTTATGTTAATAGAAATGATACATATTTTTAAAATTCTCACATCACTGCCAATGCATCTGATTTATCTATCTAGATGCTTCAAAAGAGAATTCATAACTCTAAATGCCCACTTCTGTATTCTCTAGTTTTTAGATCATTGTTTTAATGTGCAACTATTTCCATGATTCTAATTTTGATCAATTTAATTTCATATATACTTATGATTATTCAAACTTTTCCTATCTTAAATTGGTAAGATTTTAGAACTTTAACAAGTTACCAAATCTTGGAGAACAAAGAAAGGCTTACTAAATAAAAATTCAATTACTGAATTCTGAAAATCAATGAAGTGACTCCTAATGATATTCTATTATACTCATAGATCAGAGCCTAGTAATTTTCATCAGAGGCTGTGTCATCTAGCAACTGACAGGAGCAGATGCAGAGACCCAGAGCCAAACACTAGGCAGAGCCAGGAGAGAATCCTGCAGAAGGGTATGGGAGGATTGTAGGGGCCAGAAGGTTTGGAAAAAGAAGACACAGCCCACAGAATCAACTAAGGGCTCAGAAGGGTTCACAGAAAGTGAAGCAACAATCACAAAGCGTGTATGAATCTGAGCTAGGTCCTCTACATATGGTTATGGTTGTGTGTAGCTTGGTGTTCTTCTGGAACTCCTGACAGTGGGAATGGAGACTGTCTCTGACTCTTTTATCTGTGCTTGAGGCCCTTTTCCTCCCACTGTGTTGCCTCATCCAGCCTGGATATGAGGGTTTAGACCTAGTCTTATTGTAACTTGTTAAAATATGTTCAGTTGATATCCCTGGGTGGCCTGCTCTTTTTTTTTTTTTTTTTTTTTTTTTTTTTCAGAGGCGGGACGGAGGAGGATTGAAAGGGAATGGAGGATTGGGGACACTGGGAGAAATGGAGGGATGGGAAACTGTATTTGGGAAGAATAAGAGAGAAAATGCAGGACAGTCTTTGAGTTCTGACTCGGATAACAAATGTTATCACAAGTCTTCCCTTCACTGCACTTTGTGAAAGAGCATCTTTGTTTTCAATACCAGCTTCATCTCATGGGTAGATAGATCACTGTTTCTTCACCTCAGCTCTTTTTCCCATCTAAATTCACATCCACATGTAAATATCACGTAAGAGCTGTGTAATACTAAAATGAAAGATACAAAAATGGAAGTACATGTTTGCCAGGACACAGAGAGCGTCCAAATTAACACTAACATGTACCTCTCATTTAATTCCAGAGATCCCAACAGAAGATCCTTTTTGCTACTTCTGACACTCTAATAAGGAAACTGAGGGCAAACATTCACATCACTAAGACCACATCCTTGATAGAATTATAAAAGATGAAGCAATAGAAAGGGCTGCATAGTGGGCACACCACAGTCATGTTCACAATGGGGAGGGCTTGGACTGGAGTTGGTGACTACAGGCAAGGGCAGATATGGAGAATGGGTCATACACCTTAGACTTGCCCTGAAAGTGTTTTAGAGCTAGAGAGAAGCTTCTAGAATTATAATTAATGATCCAATCTTTTGGTGATGCTAAAGCAGATGAGATACTGACTTTGCAATCCCTTACTTTTAAAATTTTATTGTATGTGTGGGAGCATTTTGCCTGCATGTGTCTATACACTTGTGCAATGCCTGTAGAGGTCAGAAGAGGGCATCAGACCTGGAACTGGAGTTACAGGTGTGAGTGTGGGAATCAAAGCCCGGTCCTCTGGGAGACCAGCCAGTGCTCTTGACTGCTAAGCCATCTCTCTGACTCCCCTTCCACTTTCTGAGAAAATAAAACTCGATGCTTGTGGAACACCTGAAACACTTCCTTTCTGTCTTTTCTAAAATTCAGAGTGGAAATTCTTCACTTGGGTTGTCAAGATTTATTATGCAGAACAATTCAGAAATATTTCAGAGTTTAGCTCTTTCATCAAATTTTATCTTAACCATCTCACAATTTCAGGAATGTCAAACCCACGGTACATGCTTCACACAGTGAACTGGAAATATCCACAGTCTTTTATCAGACTGAGAAGTGATACCATCCCTCAATCTACTTTCGTAACACATGTATTCTGTTATTATCTTTTGTCCCGCTTCATTCCATTAAGACCCTTTTTCTCCTCTCTTGGCCTCCTCCAGTTTCATGAATTACCCTCCCCACACACACAGAGAGAGAGAGAGAGAGAGAGAGAGAGAGAGAGAGAGAGAGAGAGAGAGAGACGTTAGGCACATATATAAAAATTAAAAATCTAAATACTACACAGAACAGAAAACATACAATTTTCATATTCCTGAGTCAAAGCAAAGTGTGTGTGTGTGTGTGTGTCCAAGAACTCTAAGTCCCACCCCAGGAGATGAAACTAGCCGTATCCATCATACTTATTAACAAATGAATGGATAAATAAAATGTGTTACATATGCACAATGAAATTTTATTTGGCCATGTAGAAAAGTGAAGCCATAACTCGCATAGGAAAAATGATGGAGCTATAAATTATTATTATACTAAGCGAAGGGGCTTAATTTGACAGGAAGAGGGTTTTGCCTCCTATTGTCAGAAATTATAAATCAAAACCTAGCTGATAATCTCCCAAGAACACTCCCCTGTTGCAGCACACTAACAGTGTTGGGTTAGAGATGGTTTGTGGCTAAGGGAATGGTACTCACAAGCACAGCACCCCAGAGCGGATAGCCTGAGTAGAAGGTGAAGAAGAAGAAATGCCTGAGTGGTATGACAAATATTGTAAAGAGCCCAAGAAAACACCCAGAGCCAGAATCAGTACTCCAGTCAGGATCTGGACCGGCCTGGAAGAAGAAGAAAACAGAGATCAGAAAGGAGGAGATACCATGGCTTTAAATGATTAAAATGCTAAGCCTAAATTAACCAGGCAAGATCTTGTTCTAAGAAGGCTTTATTCAGGAATGTGATATGACAAAGGTAAACAGCTATTAAATTTTTATTTCCAAATATTTTCATTAAAAATATACAATATGGTCATCATTAGTGACACAGGCCTGCAATCTCAGCTACTTGGGAGAATGAGGCAGAAGCATATATCTGAAATACAGAATTAGTTCAAGTCCAATCTGTGATTTAATAAGACCCTGTCTAAAAATGTACAAAGGGATGGAGTTCTAGCTCAATAATAAGAGGGTTTTCCTGGCATGCATGAGGACCTTGGTCTCATACCCAGGACCACGGGGACTGGAAAAACAAAGGGAAAGGAGGGGTTAGGAGAGGAGAGGAGGGGTTAGGAGGGGAAGGGAGAGGAAAGGAGGGGAAGGGATAGGAAGAGATGTGGGAGGAGTGGGGAGGGGAGGGGAGGAGGGGAGGGAAGGGAAGGGAAGGGAAGAGAAAGAAGGGAAGGGAAGGGGTAGATGAACTTCACAGAACTAAACCTCCTGATATGAGTGGTCAGAGTGTACCAAGAAACAATTAAGAGCCTTAGAATAAACTCTGGAGAGTTTGTTAGAACGTTCTACCCCTATGAGACTGATTCTACATTTCTACTCCTCAGGTCTCTATGGCCCCATCTTGTCTTCAGTGACTTAGTGAACAATAACTAGAAATTGTGGAGGGAATCTATGTAATCTCTTGTTCCTTCTTGTATAAACCAACTTTGACAAAGGCAGATTTACCCCAAGAGCTTGTAGTACTCCTCTTTGAGCATCACTTGATCCATCCAGGAGCTGATAAACGGAACCATTAGTCTCCTCTCGTTCATGCCTGTTGAGGTTCCACCTGCGAGTGTCCCCAGATCTGTATTATCAAATTCCTGGATAGGCCATTTTGGGCTGCTTATGGCTGTCATGGGAAAGAACACAAAAGTTGATGTTTCCTCTATCACTTTTTAATAATAGTGTTTAGGTTACAGAGAGTTTAGCTTTGTTCATTCAACGCAATTCCTCTCCTGAATGATGGAATTCATACCCTGCGCTGCCACTTTCACCCTAGAACTGTTCCCTCACAAAGCAAACCCTCCCTCCATGCTACAACTAGGCCTAAAGAACACCTCTGTACCAAACCAAATTTCAGCCCATGAATCAAACTTTGAAGAAACTCCTTCTAGTCCCAGGCCAGTCTGAATGGTGAACCCTTTCTGCCTGCTCTGGGAACCACCCTAGCAGCTCTCTAAATTCCTCAGTTTGGGCTTCAATTTTCAAGCTGTTTGTTTGTGCCTTGTGCCCTCATCATCTTGCTCTACGGTCCCACTGCTTCACAGCTGGCACCCAGTTAATACACATTTCAGAAAGAGCCACATTTAAGGACAATAATAGAAAATCCACCAGCAGGCACTGATCTTTTCTTGCTGAAAACACTGTAGAATGGTTTTGGAGAGAGGAAATGGGGTCTGAATATTAGAAAAAAATCAAAGGCAAGCTTCCACCTTCAGATAAAGCAAACCAGTGTCTGGCAGCTATGTCAGTGAGTTTTTTTTAAGTTTCAGTTCTCAGAACATCCATTGGGACAGGTATAATCACTATAACCTCTCCATCTTAAAGATTAGATGAGGAATCTAAGGAGCAGAGCATTAAATAACAAACCCAAGTCCACTAGGCAGAGATCAAAGATGTTAATGTCAAAGTCTGCCTCTAGTTATCACTACACTCTTCCTCTGAGCCTGTGCAGGGAACCACCCCACCAAACCTAATTCATATTTCAGGAATCCCCCATAACCAAACACTGGCCACCAAACTCTGAAGCAGCCTCTAATGTATCAAAATTTGTGTGCGTGTGTGTGTGTGTGTGTGTGTGTGTGTGTCCACATCTACATTTTTCCAAAAAAATTCAGGATTATACCAAAATAATGGCACCAGAGTAACATCTGCTTTAGGGCATGTCATCCATACAGCTAAAAAATTCCAAACCTCTACTGAACAACCAAAAGGAAACTTTAGGCATTCTAAGAGGGCCAGGAGGCACCTTTAGCAGAAAAAAGAAAAAGAAAAAATGAAAGATTCCATGGAGAAGGAACCTGGAAGGATTTACCTGGGAAACTTCAGACTTTGACAGACTCCTTTCCCTTCAAGTCCATTTCACCACAGAAGAGGCATCAGTCTGTCCCCCAAAACCAGCAGCCACTTCTTCCTGGGGTTTAACCAACCTCTTGCTTGTGCACTACCTGAGCTGATCCAATGGAAGTGTTTTCGATGGCTGTCTGGTAGGTGTGCTAATCATACCCATATTTGAGGGCTCTACACCCATCCACTTCCCAAGGTTGGCCCATAAAGAAGGAAACTGGTATCAGGAGCCACCACATTCTGACTCTAAGATATTGCTTCACACATTAATGGAGCAAGAAATAGAAGGCAGAAGATAAGAGTAGGTTGGTGGGAAGGTATTGTGGAATGAGGAGGAATGGGCCTAGCTATGTAATAAAAGGTGAAGTCAGGCAGAACAAATAGTGTTGAAGGGAAGGACATAACAGGGTCACTAAGAGAAAGTGTTTATATAATACACCAGTTATGTTGCTAAAAATTATTTTATATGCATGATAATCTTTAATCCTCTCAGGCCAAACAAGGTTAGTTTATGCATCAGTAAATTAAGACAATGGTAGCTTAAATGTATAAGGTTACTGTATATCAACTCCTGTTTCATATTCAGTTTGTTTCATGTGAATCTATTTCTTCCATCCTCAGGATAATCTATAACTAGATAACACTACTGAGTCAGTATGATAGAAGATAAAACTGGCAAAGAAAAAGATAACCAGATTCCCCACATTTAACCAGCTATATTAGTACATTGCCTGGTGGTATAAGAAAATATCACTGACAGGGTAAGTTATAAAAAAAATAAATGTTTATTGGCCTTCATGCCATGTCATAGCATAGTGAGAGTGAAGGAGAATCTGTGAAAGAAAACAGGGTGGGTGTTCCTAATTAATCATCTAAGATCACCTGCTAAGTAAAATATAACTGAGTGTTTCTGTGAGTTTCCATAGAAGCTTAACTTGGAAGACAACTCCCAAATATGGGAGTCAACATCCCACAGTCTGAGGCCCTTGTGCTGCATGAAAAGAAAAGTGAGTAGAGCACCAGCATCATCTCTTCTGCTTCCTGACTGCAGAGATGAGCAGTTGCTATCATAGCTAGAGCAGCCCTTGGCACCACAACTCCTTTGTCATTTGACATTGAGATTGTGAACAGAAATAAAACTTTCCTAGTTGCTTTGTCTAGTATTTTGCCAGTAATAAAAAAATAACTAACAGAGAGTCCAAACATTGTCCCCAATTAATAAGCTACTTCTGCCTACACCTCACCCCATGATACTGCTGATAATGACATCAACCCAAGCCCCATGTTCTGGTTGTGCTAGAGTGAATGATGGTCCCCCAAATCCTTGCCTTGACGTAATGTACCCTTTCAGGGGCTCATCTGAGGCTTTGGGTCTCTCAGGTTGGGGCCCTGTGCCTGAAGCCCTCCAAGGCTAGAACTCTCGGAGGGTTTCTTATAAGTGGCTTCAGAACTTGGGACAGGAGAAACTGGTCAAGTGGGACCAGACTGAACGGGGAAAGCTTTCCATTTAATTGCACCTTCTCTGAGGCAGACTAACCCACACCTAGGCTTACTTGAGCTAAGCATGAAGCATCTGACCAGTGCCATTCCAGAATATTTGGGGCAGAGTGATAGAGGCTATGTTAGGGAGCACTTGGAGGCCATCCTGTGTCCATCTAAGCACTCTGTTCTTTTAGATTTGGGCCTAGAAAAGAAGCCTTGACAAGCTCTGAAACCCTTGTACGACTTGTCTTCCATTGTCTATGACCCCTCTGTCTATGCTAATCAACCTTAGCTACAAATGACTTTGCATTCTTCACCTGACCATTCTGTAAATATGTTCAACTCTTTCCAGTTTGGTTTCTTTTTTTCAATTATAAATTGCACATTAAGTTTTTCTCTGATCTTCCTATTTATTGTTAAAATTATCACATGGTAGTTGGAATACTCTAACATTCTACATCCCATAAAGTTCTGGGATACAAACATAACACTTTTAATGGCATAGGTCTCATATATAGTTTAAGCTAACAGACTCACTGTGGGGGCAAGGATGACCTTGAACTTATTAGGCTGCTCCTTCCCAGTCCTCAGTTTACAAGCATGCATCTTCATGCTTGGTACTAGGGATGAAATTCTGGGCTCAAAGCACCGTAGCAAGCACCCTGCCAAATGTAGTACACAACCATCCCATCCATGAAATCTTGCTAACTTTTTTTTAGTTATATAAGAAAAATTTTGACTCTAGGTTCCAGCCCCTTATTCCTCAGTTGCTAAGATCTCATCATAAATGCCTCTGTGCCCATGTTACTGCCACACTCTGAGTGATATCAAGAGAGTTTGTGGAAGAGAAAAAGAATGAAAATAGAGGACCTAGTCCTGAAAAACAAATCATAAGTGGGAACAGAGCACACACAAGAGGGAGCCAGCATTATCCCACATCTAAAGGACAGTTTTGGCATGACAGACTGTGGCTGGGAGGCAAGCAGAGGCTCAGAGTTGCCCTGCAGCCAAGACTGAGAGCTGAGCCCAGAGTCAAGTGCAGGGACAGATGCAAGAGTAGACCCAGATAGAACTCACAAGGAATTGGTAGAAAAGACAGAGGTAAGTGACATAACACATTCCCACCTCTATTCCCACTACACTGCCCACCACCACCTGTGTACTGTTTTAGCAAAAGCCATTGCAGATGGAATATTACAAGAAAAATAAATGGTGAGAACATGATTTAGGGAAAGAAGAAAGAAACATAAGGAAGTGGAATAAAAGAGTTTCTATTCTGGAGACATCAATACACCTATCCCTGCTCATCGTTATAA